CTTCAGTTCTGTGCAGGAGAGCAGCACACCTGTCCTAATTTTTACATATTCCTTGGGACCTAAGCCAGAACCTCTGAGGGACGCAGGAGAAGGTAAGGGCCTGTTAACCTGATTAGCAGCTGCTTTCCTGTAGCAGCCACTTTCCTGAGCCCAGCACCCAACAAAGGTCTGCAAGGTGGGGCTTCATCTTATATTTAGCTGTGAGGTGGCAAGCTTGGATGAGTAGGGCCCTTGAGTCTTGGGAACCTTGAACCCTTTCCTGGGAGACAATGTTCTGGAGGGAGCCTATTTCCACTGTGCCCAGAATGAATGGCCACAGGGTCAAGGAGGGAGCATGATCTTGGCCCATATTCTCAAAGGACTGGGGATGCTGGGCTCAGTCAGATCGCTCTCTGTTCTGCCCTCTTCTGGCTTCATGTCCTGGTTCCCAGCCCACATCTGCTCCAGCTCTATGTCCCTCCTCCCCTCCTCAGCAGGTACCACCACTTACTCTGTCCTTGGAACTCTTCCCTAGACCTGACTGCAGAGGACAACCCAGCTTCCCAGTTGACTTGTCTTTTTGCTCCCAAAGAAAGGAAGGCCACATCCCTTGTCCTTGTGGAGGCCAAAGACAAGGGATTACACAAACCATAGACATGAATTCTTTTCAAACCACATGACAGAGTAGCAAAGTGAGTTGAGAACACAGGCTGCCTGGATTCATATCCCAGTTCTGCCACTTACGAGCTTTGTGACCATGGGCAAGTTATTTAGCCTTCTAGGGCCTCAATTTCTTTTTAGTAAAATGGAGTAATAATGGTATTTTCTTCATATGATTGCTTAAATGAGTTATATTTGTAAACTAGAACAGAGCAAGTGCTCTTCAATTTCTAGCTATACCCTGTGGGCTCTCCCAGGGCAATAGCTTCCTTCTCCACCCCATCCCCAATGAATGATTAGTCTTGATCCCGAGGGAGGTGCTTGCCAAGCCTTACACACTTTCCAGCTGGGGACTTAGATGTCTGTTTCCCAGGACTCAGGTTGGAAGATCATGTCAGGGCAGCAAATGAATTATAATCTCTCATATTGTAGAAAGGAGCTCTAGTGGGACGATGGTTAAAGCATTTGGCTGCTAACCAAAATGTTGATGGTTCAAACCAGCTAGTCCATGGGTGAAAGATGAAGTAGTATGCTTCTGTGAAGATTTGCAGCCTTGGAAACCCTATGGGGACAGTTCTGCTCTGTTCTAGAGGGTCACTATGAGTCAAAGTTGACAGCAATGGGTTTGGTTTGGGTTTATGGGAAGTCAGTGCCTAACTCCACACTACAATCAGTAAGTCCCACATTCTATTATGACCACAGTAGTCCCCTGATTAAAACTTTCCATGCTCCTAAGTGTCCTTAGGACAAAGTCTAGATTCTTTGGCTGGGCTGACATGGTCATTTGACAAACAGGAGGAAAGAAGGAGTGATTGGGTGGGAGCAAGAGTTTACCTTATAGCTCTTAGTTTCTCCTGAAGTGAGACACCAACTCATGTGCAGAGAGTAGGTGATGAGGGGAGTCACAGGAACTTGAGGATCATTATGGGAACGGAGAGAGAGCTGTCCTGGAAAACTCAGCATGATTGGTGAGCAGCATTGTGGCTAAGACTGGTAATGAGGAATTCATAGGGACACCAGGCACCTGGCTGTGTGGATTTCTCTTATAATTATTCACTCCCTGGGGACAGGTACAGTGAAGGCATATGGGTGAATTCATCCATGAAGGGGATTTTACTTGGAGAGTGGACCAAAGGGCAGTGAGCCAAGGAGGTGAGGATTCTGTCAAGGAGTGGGTGAAATGATGGGTCACAGAATAACCAGAAGATGAGGGGAGACTTTAGAAAGAGATAGCAGAGGGGCCAGTGGGTACAATGTGGATGAAGAAGGGCTTAGTGCGCTTATTTGAGCAAGCAAGCTGAAGACAGGAGTGGTGGGAAGTTTTCTCTAGTGATTGAGTAAGTAAAAGCATTGCTGTTCTGCTTGTCTGCTTGTGCCACTATCCGGCTCTTACAGCCACCTGGTTCCTGTTCTAGCTGGATATATAGGTGCTAACTTCTACTCCGGAATAGGTCCTATGGGGCATGAACCATATTTTTCATCTAGCATCCTTCTCAGGTGAGCCTGATGCTGGCCTTGCCTACAGTACCTGCTCAACCATAAATTTTTGCTGTGACCCCTACCCCTTCCCATCTTCTAGGCCTGTGTTTCTGTTTTCTTTAGTTTCTTAAAAAGAAATATTGTGAAAGATTCTAGCCCTGCATCAGCCAAAAGGAAAAGGAATTTCCCCTCATATCACAGGCTGAAGAAACATCTTTAGAGAAAGGCCTAGGAGTTGTTGATAATGAAAGACCCCTCTTGAGAACCCTAGAAGAGCCAGAATTTCTAGAGCAAAGAACATAGGGCATCAGGAGGGAAAGATTCCAGGTCAATAGTGGACAGTTGGTCAACTTTCCTACCCTTCCCCATCATAGATAGGCTTCTCCTTGCTTCTTGCATACACACTGCCATCTGACCAAGCCAGTGTCTTTTATCCATCCATTCATTAGTTAATCCAACAAAGCACCTATTGCATATCAGGCCCATGTTGGGATATACAGATCAGAAAGACTCAAACTCTGCTGGGAACACTCACCACCTGGCTAAGGAGACAGGCACGTAAAGAAATAATTGCAGATTCCACATTGAGGGGGCTATGGGTGTAGAGAAAGGGCAACTCACTAATTTAGTTTAAGGGAAGAGAGAAGACTACCCAGAGATTGTGGCTTCCTAGTGAATTGGATCTTGAAGAACAAAAAGCAAGAGAACAGTGCATATGAAGGCTGGAAGAAGCAAGAGAACATGGAGAGCTCATGGTACTTTGTGGGGAAAGAGACCAAGTCATGTCAGGGAGTATTGACTTTATCCTGCAAGAGGTGAGAAGGCACAGAAGGATTTAAGGTAGATTTGCATTTTAGGATAATTACTGTGGCTGAAGTGTGTGTGTGTGTGTGTTCATGTGTGTGTTGTGGGTTGAGGAGGCATGTGTAGGGAGTGGTTTTAAGAGGAGATAGGAGTGAAAGTAGAAAGAATAGTAAGGAAGAGAGAGGCAAAGATACAGAGGGTCCTGTCTAGGTAGTGGGAATAAAGGGATGGATTCAATAAATATTTATGAGGGAAATGAGTAGAAGTTGTACTTTGATTATTGGACACAGGGTGAGGAGATAGAGAGGGCACCATCTCAGATCACTCTGAGGTTTTTAGTCTGGGGCTTGGGTGAGTGGTGATAGCCCCAAATAAAACAAAGGGGCTATTTAAAGACAGAGAGGAGAGGGACTGAATTTTGAATATGTGGAGTTTGGGGTGCCCATGGAATACCCAGGGGAGAGGTTTCTGTTGTACTGGGTGTTCTTGAACACGCCCTATGCACCCTTGCTCTTGGTATCTGCTCAGGAGACCTTCAAAGCAACTTTTATAAGCCCCCAGTGTGCAATGTCCTTCCCCTCATCCACCAACTTGGCATTTTCTTCAGGAGACTTCCTCGGTCTTATTAGCTGATAGCAATCTCTTGTCAGAGCCTCCCTAGACCTACATTTAATATCTTTTAGGAGACATAGCTTATTTCCCTGCCTGTCTTGGTTTTCTTCATAAAGCTTTTTGTCATCTGCACCTTGTGAAGCAGGAAGTGATGAAATAGTGGTCAACACTCTTGAGCACTGCTTCCAGGAGGAGTTTATCGTTGCCACCCAGGAAGTGCCACTGTACCATAGAAGGGGAGAGCCCTTCTGGTGCTGATTCCTAGCAGGAAGTGACTCTTACAGTCCAGGCAGGTGTCAAACACCCCTCCCATGCCCAGGAGCCCAGAACTGGGCCAGCTGGTGCAGCGACTACACAGACGTAGGAGGTTCTAGTTTAAAAGGTGGGGTAGGAAGCTGCAGCCAGCCTCCCAGCCACCCTCAGAGGAATCAGCCAAAAAGAACACAAACCAAGGGAGAGATAGTTTCCAGCAAAGCCAGCTGATAAAACCCCAATACTTAAGGCCTCCTCTTGGGCCAGCTCATGAACAAATGTGAAGGACTTAGGTCCCCCACCCTGAGTGCTCTTCTCCCTGGGACCTGAAACCCACTGCCTTCCCAAGCTGGGCATTCCCTGACCCCATCTCTGCTTCAGCATCTTCTTTCTTAAGAGGAGAAACATGGACCTTACTGAGAAGACTTTTTAGGTACCTTTTATAAGCCTGAGACAGGAACAAAAAGTTAACTTTGAGATGGGCGGGGTGAGGGAGAAGGGTCTCTGAGGTAAGAGGTGAGGTAATGACAATAACAATAGCAATGGCAGCTGCCATTTTTATTGCACATCTGCCACATGCCCAGTCCTCCCATATATGATCTCATTTAATGCTCACAATAGATCACCATGACCTTGACGCTCCAGAAGCAGGCTGAGAGAGGTTAAATCATTTGCCCAAGGTCCTCCAATTGGCAAGTGGTACAGGGGGTTCCAATCCAGGCCTGTCACATTCTGGAGTCTGTGTCTTTCTATTTTGCTGCCAGTGACCCTCCTCAATGAAGGTTCACTGGGACAGTCTCTGGGGTCAATCAACAGTCACTCCTGTGGAAATTTCTGATGGGTCAGAGTTAGATTTGAGGGGTTTAAAAAATAAGGGTCAAGAATCTTAATGGATCTCAATCACTTCTCTATCTAGACACAGGGGGAAGGGATAGACTCAGACAGGCATAGACAGGCAGACTCTGACAGTCCCATGGATCCAAGAACCCAGTTCCAAGGAAATACACATCTTCCCATGGTGTGGATGTGTGGATACACGTGGACGCTTAGTCACATACACAAGTCCACAGCAGGCAGACACAGTCCTAGGGACATAGATACCTTCATGTATGCTCACTGTCATCTACATACTCACTTACTCAGTCACTCACACCCCAACTGCTCTCTGGATGCTGAGGCAGGTTGCTGAGGAGGAGGACTCTGGCTTGGCTCGGTCAGATGAGGCTGGCAATACTGGATGTGGTCTCATGACGCTGGCCAGCAGACAGCCTTCCTGAGATGCTGAAGACACTACCATTGCCATCTTGGCCACTGTGGGTGGAGGGGGCTGCTGCTCGGATTGGGGGGCAGTATCCACTCACGCCCACCTGATACAGCAGCAAGGCTAGCAGCAAGAGCGAGCCTGAGGCAGCCAGAGCAATGCCCACTGAGAGCATGGTGGCCAGTGGCTGGGTGGGGGTGGGGGCGGCAGCCAGCCCAGCCAGTGTCAGCCCAGTAACCAATAACACCAGGCCGCTGAGCAGCACCACAAGGGCATCGGCACCTCCACCGCTGCGTAGCAGGGCCACGTGGTGGGGCTGACGCACGCAGTTCATGTCCTGCACGGCTGAGCTCATCAGTTGCTTCACCAGCACCAGCAGGGCCAGCAGACAGAGCACTGTGCCTGATGCTAGCCGCCACTCACCTGAGCGGCTGCTGGTAGAGGAGAACAGTGCCACACCACCTGCCCCACAGCCTGCCACAAGGATCACGGCCACGACAAAGCAGAGTGTTGAGCGCCGCGGCTGCTGAGACCACCACAGCTCCACCTGCTCTGCCAGTACATCCATAGGCAGCCCCTGGCCCATGGGGGCTTGAGCCTCTCCTTCAGACATGGCTTGGTCTGGCAAGGGTTGGGGCAGAGGGTCAGTGTCAGAAGCTAGAGGCCTGGCTCATGGCCTGTTGCCCCCACCACCTGCTTGGCAGCTAGAGGCCCAGAGTGCTCTTCCTCTCACAGTCCAGAGTATCAGCACCATTACCTGCAGGAGGGAATCACAGTTGTCACCGCTCCAGCCCACCTGTCCCTCATGGTCCCTTCTGGGAGCCTTGGGGATCCCCCCCCCCCACCAGTGTCCGCTGGAATCCCCACTGGGAAAGTTCTCTCCCCAGCATTGCCTCCCAGGACGCCAGGAAAGTTCTGTCCCCCACTCACCCACACACCCTGGGAATCCCCCTTGCCCAGCCCCTGACCTCTCGGGCTCTGGCTCTCTCGGATGCCTGTCCCATCCCGGCTGGCTGAGGGAACTGGTGCCACAGTGGACAGTGAATGATGGGATGAACAGACAGAGATAAAGCCTCATTCAGGATCAGACTCACATGGCCTCAGCTGTCACCACTGGCTCCTGGGGGTGGGGTGGAGAAGGAAGGCAGTGGGGAGGGAGAGGGGTTTATGACTTAACTCTTCTGGAGCCAGCAGTCTGACCCAAGCCTCTTTTCTCTTAGGGCTGGCCCATCTCCTCCTCCTCTGCAGGTTAGGATCTGACTCCTGACATCTGCCCTCCCCTAACATCCCATCCACTCTCAGCCACAATTGCAGCAAGAGAAGCTGATGGGTTTCAAACCATTCTCAAACCTGGATCTCTCTCCTAAACTCCACACCCATAAGGCTGATGATCACCTGGATGCCCCATAGTCACTTCTGAAGCAAAAGGTCCCAACCCAAGCTTGTCATTTACACCAAACTTGCTCTTCCTCCTACTTGCCTCATTTCAGCAATGGCCTCACCACCCTCTCAGCCACCCATGTAGGAATGCTGGGAGCAGACTATATGGGATGATTCTTGTTCCCTCTGCCCTATCTATATAACCTATCTATATATGTCATGAGGAATTCAGCTCTTGACACTGCTTTCCTTCCTTGCTTTCATCCATACAGCTCCTGCCTCTTCACCTTCTCCCTCCATTTCCTCATTGATCCTCACCTTCCCCCATTTTTCCCCACTCTCCATGCCACCCTCCTCCATGTTTCCTCTAATGTGGTGCAAAGTGCAAAGGAGGGCTCTGGATTTGAGCCAAAACTACGGTCCTTAGCACAAATGGGAATCATGACTCACTGGGAAAAATGAAGCAGACAAGGTCCCTGCCTTCAAGGAGCCCCAGTTGAAAGTGCTGGGGTATGGATTGGGAGCCCAGAAGAGAGAGGGTCAGGGAAGCCCTATTAGTTTACCTCCTAGAGCCTCAGTCGCCTTATCTGAAAAATGAAGACAATAACATGTAGCTTGAGGGGTGGGGCTCGGTCATTTGACATTTTCATTTCAGAATTCCCAAGGAGCCTAGAGCCCACATAGGCACTCAGGACATGCTTTCTGATTAATGGGACCAGATAGATGTCCCTCCCTCCAATTTAGGCTAAGATTCCTGCTTTATACATAGGATGCAGGCATGGACCATGCCAGGAACACAGACTACTTGGTTGTACACAGGTTACACTCCCATGTTACATTTGGCCTCCATAACTCCACAGCAAGGGGCTGCCCAGCACAAGTTGGGCAGGTCAGGTTCAGATGCCCTCAGGGGAGGTGAGGGCTGTGGGAGGGGCCCCTGGAGTGAGTCTCAGCATTCCCCAGGGCTGTGACTTTGCTGGTTTGAAAGTGCTTGCACAGGTGTGCTGGGACATCCAGGCCAGTCTGGGGGAGGAGTGGAGGTTGTCCGGAGAAGGGCCAGTGGGGAAGATAGGGGCAGTGGGGGCAGGGGGTTATGGGACACTCACGCGAAGCCCGGACTTGCTGGATCCCATCTGAGCAGGCAGGGTGGGTGGGGCGTTCCAGCTCTGTGTCGGAGGAGGAGACGCTTCACCTGCCTAACCTGCACGCAGGTGAGCCTGGAGGGGGGGATGGGGATCAACAGGTGTTGTTTCCAGGTAGGGCCTCAACCGATTGGCTGACGTGGCACTGCTCCTTCTGCTGGGCATTCCTGGGAAGGGAGGGGCTTCTGTCACCTGCTGTTAGGGCTCAGAACACAATTCCCAGACTTGGGTAGCTGGAGGAATGTTGTCTTTCTGCCCCAGAGCCTAGGCTCCTGGCCAGCCCCAAGCTCCAAGCCCAATTTCTACCTTTATTTCCAGCCCCAAACCCCAACCCAGCACCAACTCCAGCTTCAGTTTCAAATCCTAACTAGATCTCTGTAACCTCAGTCCTAGCTACTACTCCACATCCCAGCTTCAACCTTGAACTTCAAAGTCCAGTCCCAATGTCTATAAAAACCCACTGCAATAGAAGTGGATTCCAACTCCTAGCGACACTATAGGACAGAGTAGAACTGCCCTTTGGGGTTTCCAAGGCTGTAAATGTTTATGGAAGCAGACCACTTCATCTTTCTCCAATGGAGTGGCTGGTGGGTTTGAACTGTCAGGCTTTTTGATTAACAGCTCAGTGCTTTAACCACGGTGCCAGCAGAGCTCCCGCCAATCTCTATACCCATTTCCAAATCTATTTCTAGTCCTAGCTCTGAATTCCAACCCCAAATCTGATCTGGCTTGAAACCTTCACTTTAACTCCTTAGTCCAACTCCATCTCCAAATTCCAAACTTAGGCCTTAGACCCCCAACCTCACTCCTAGCTTTGACTTCTATTCCTGAATACAGTCACCAAAACCCAACTCAAACCCCAAACCCAGACTAGGCCCCAAATTCCAACATTGGCTCACCCACAAACCCAGCCCCAGTAGCCAGCATCCCTTGGCCCTTTTCCCTGGGTTGGAGCCCCTACTTCCTTCCCTCTTCCCCTAATCCCCCTCCCTAATCCCTGCTTAAAACACTTGTAGTTCTTTCAGAATAAATGTGACATTCCTTCACAAGGCTCATAAAGCCCCTGTGGAGCTGCCAAACACAAGTGAGTCATTTGCCACTGGCTCCTGCCCTCTAGACAGAAAGAATGTGGTCAGTTCTTCACACTTTGCCCTCTGCTGTGCTCTTTTGGATTCTGAACTCAGAGTTCCCCACCTGGGATTTTTAGCACTCCTCCACCTTTAGTCTGTTGAACTTCGAACTTCCGTCTTTCAACTAAGATGTCACCACCTCCAGGAAGCCCTCTGACCTCCAGGCTGACTAAGGTGGCTCTTTGGTACACTCATAACCCCTCTGCTTCCCCTACAACTGCTCTTTCTGCAGCATGCTGCAATTGCCCTTACTTACTTAACGGTCATCCCCCACTAGGCATATGGTCCCCAAGAGGTACAGGGACGATGCATTTTATTAATCATTGTGACTTTGGTAGCTAGCACTGTGCTCGGCACATGGGAGGTGATCAATAATATTTGTTGAGTGATTGATTAAATAAATGAATGAACTGACAGGTGTGCTCAGCAGGGAGCATGTAAGATGAAGCTGTAAAGACAAGTTTGGCTCAGGTTGTACAGAGCCTTTAATACCATGATGAGGCATTCGATCAGGGGCTTATGGAGGGCTCTGAAGTATAACAGGGCCAGGGCCAGAGCTCTGCTTCAAGTAAATGAATCTGACACCACATATCACTCTGGATTGGTGAGGGGGCGGGTGGTTGGAGGTGACAGGCCGTCACCATCTCCCAGACTAAGCCCCTTGTAATGCCTCTTGCTTCTCTCCTTCCAGTATGCATGAAATAGATAAGAAAAATACAACCAAAGTTGTCTTTCCATCATCGGCTTGACCTGCTTGTGCTTCTCTTTGCTTTGTTCTGTGGAGATGATGGGGGGAGGGGGGTGTCAGTCAGAACTCTAGTTCAGGGCTGTCTAATTGAAATACAATGTGAGCCTTGTGTAGTTTAAGATTTTCCAACAGCCAATTTAAAAAAGTTAAAAAGAAAAAAAATACCCAAGTGAAACGAGTATATTAATATTTTATTAAACCCTAGATATTTTCATTTAATATACAAATTAATGAGATATGGTATTTTACAGTCTTTTATTTTTGTACAACGTCTTGAAAATTCAGTGTGTGTTTTACACTCATAGGTGTCTCAGGTCCGACTATTCATATTTCAAATATTCAATCACTGTATATTGAGGCGCTGGATGGTCCTTCCCCTCAAGAAAAGATTAGGGCAGCCTGACCACTGTGGAGCAGGCTGAAACCTGGGGCACAATGATGGCAGGATGCAGGCGCTCATTCTGCCACTTAGGCAAAGCATTGCAAGAGTGTGCCCTGCACTCAGAGGAGTATGGGCACAGAGGGCCTGGCAGGGTTCCCTGGCTGCATATTCTTCTTGCACCTGTCTGAGGTTTATTGTTGCTACTGGCCTCAAGGAGAAGCCAGTTCCATGTTGTCCTGGGCAGAGCTGGGGCAGGGAGTCCACGTTTCCCCTCCCTTCACCCATCCCTTGGGGTTTGAAGGGAACCTTTTGGGTAGGGTGGAGACAAAATTTACTCATTCTAAACATTGGCTATGTCTTTGTTCCAGTTCTGGGTCTTATCAGACACCTTGGAGTTAAAGTGGAAAGGCAGGCTCCCCATGGGGCTGTTGAACTCTGTCCCCAAAGCAGAGTCTGTTAGAGAGCTCCACTGGGTGGTAATGAAGGTTTGAACTGCCCTCAGGTCCACTGAACAGAGGGATGTGTGTGTGTGAGGGGGATGGTGGGAGTAATGAGGGGAAGACTTTGAGGTGTGGGGCTCTCATGATCCCACCTCAGGCTATTTTCAACCCAGCCCCAAAGTGATCTTGTTACAAGGTAGAGTAGCAATGTCACTAATATCCCTCCAGTGGCCTGCTTCACTCAGAATCAGCCAAAGTCCTTACATGCATGATCTCTAAGGCCCTCTCTGACTTTGTCCCATCCTGCTCCCTCCCTCCATCTCGCTTGCCTGGAATGCTTTTCTCCCAAATATCCACACCTTCCTTTTCCTTCTAGAATGTATTCAGGTAT